ACATTACTACACACAAGGCCAAAACTACATACAGTCAGAGGTACTTCAAGGCTAGGGAACCTAACATTCATCCAGAGGGGCAACTGCTAGCTATTACCACTTGACAGAGGTACATCTCCTAGGCAGGGGCCATCATACTTGACATGGCAGGGAACACCTGCAGCAAAGCTAGACAACATCATGTACACAGCTTTGGATGGAGGCAGGGATGGAAGCCCAGCATTAAGCCTTTACAATACACACATACACATCACTGTTTGGGAATGGCATGACTTTCAGAGGTCATAAGAGATTCACGGCAGTAGTTGTGATAGGAACGCTCAGACATTGTGAATGAGCGTAAGAATGAGCGTAAGATTAAATTTTCAAAAGCAGCGAAAGTGACTTTACACAGCAGCTTCCAAACCATTGCTTTGTCTACTGCCGGCAGTATGTGCAGTGATTCCTCTCAGTCTGGCAAAAAAAGAAAGAAAAGATGATTCATGCCTAATCTGTGTGTTGCCTGAGTGGTTCTCTTATGGCTAGGACCTGTGCTGTTCGAGTCTTTAACTTTGGAGCCCAGAGACATGAGTGAAAGACTATGTGCTACCAGTGCCTCTCTCCTTCCCTGCCCATCACTAATACAGGTGTGAATGGTATTACATGTTTCTGGAGTAGTGTGTGATCCAGAGATGGGGCAGCAGAAACTGTGCTGATTTGGAAAATTGACTTAAGCCCCAAGCTCTTGCTATTAGGAGGAAAATCCTCTTTGTTCCGTCTTTTAGCAGAAACTGAAGGCTGATTCACATAATCAATCCCCCCTACCTGCTCAACCTGCCTAATCTTATATTCCAAAATGTTTTGAGTCATGGACTGTTTCAGGAGCTGGGCCAATGGCAATAATGTTCAAACAAAAGCTCCGGAACCCTTCCCCCCCCATACTAATTGACAAAAAAAAAAGCAAAAAGATGACGAAACTTCTGAAAATAGTCATGTGAATCAGCCCTGAGTCCTACCACTGTCACATAGGAAAGAAAGAAGCTTCCTTCCTTCTTGCAGTGTCATTGGAAGTTTTAAGAAGAGACTGGATAGTTGGTGTGGAGCCGTAACCTGCCTAGTGATGCTACAGTATAGGTGAGGCTGAATATGCACATGAGCATGGACAGAACTGAATGGCCTGCAGGACTACACAGAGGAGCAGTTTCCAGAGGGGAAACAAATGCCTACAACCGTTGATTTAAGGGCATCCACATGGGAAGCCTCATATACCCCAAATTCAGACATTCGCACATAGCCTGTAAAGAAGGATGCTGTGCTTTCAAATAAATTAAAAAGGTTGAAACATAAGCATGTCTGCTGGAAAAGGTATTTAGAGTATTTAGTGGCCAACAGGACTTTTACTTCCTAGGTCACTATAAAGCTTTTGAGGAGGTTTTGAAAATTATACTCTGAGTTCTAAATGTCAGGCTCCCAACTTCCAAAATGTTGTCCCAAGTGCTTACTGTCCAATATTAATACTTTGCATAAAGCCTTTAAAGTGTTGCAATGGGTGATTCTTTAAATATTATATTTTCTAAGCAGGCAAGAGCTAATGTGAATGATGATATGAATAATCACAGTCATGATCTAATGAAACATACTGGTAGCACATACATTTTATAGAATGTACAAGCAAAGAAGCATGCCAATCACATGACTCTGCAGGGGTGCATTACAGGAGCTGTATTCCTTTTCCATTGTATAGTCAAATACCACATGGAATGCAGAGACTTTCACTGTGGGGGAGTCATGGATCTCAAAACACTGACTGCCTGATTTTCAACGAATTATTTGCAAATTGCTTTTTGTAAAGATTATTTCCAAGGTTGTTTTTTTTAAAAAAAACAGGGAATTTTTTAAATGGAAAACCCCCCAGTAAAAAAGGAAAGCAAATATATCATCCACCTTTCCCATTGTGATGAGAAGAATAAATAGCTGGATTTCAGAACTCATAAACTATTTAAATAAATACCTTTCCTTTTCCTTTCCTTTTCTTCCCCTTGAAACAATAAAACGTTAGAGCATAAATAAGACCCATGTCTGAAAACACCTCCCTTTGGCACTTCTCTGCAGCCTTTAGAAATCGAGCAACAAAATCAGTACATAAAGTAAATCGTGGATAAGATAGCCAATCATTTTCCCTCTGCTCCTCCCTGTATGCTATAGTTACATACATGATGGGAAATAAATGAATAAACCTACAATATTAGAAGGTTTATTCTAATAATATCTTTCTATAATATTAGAAAGCAGAATAAAAGGACAGTAATTATCCACTGGACAGTTTTAGTAGATGTCTCACTCAGTGATGTCTCACTGAGAAATTAAATGAGATCTTGTTGTTGCAGAGGAAGAGTTGCTTCCAAATCCATAAGGGGAACCAACAATTTTCTCCGCTTCCCAGACATGGAAGTTCCCAAATCGTGAAGCAGTGCTGCTGCAATTATTTGAACATATATTGCAGGAATTAAACCAATTAATGTTTTTAAGGATAAAAATGCTAGATGCCCAATTATACTTGTCCTATGGCCGCATCACAACTTTGCACAAATATAATAAGCTACAATGAGACATCTAGTTGGGGGACTGACAAGTATCCTGTGCATATTCAGAGTTAGGCTCAACAAGGGGTACCAAAGCAGAGAAGAAGAAAAAGATGGTGCATCGGGAAACTTTTTAAATTATATATCACTGAAGAATCCATATGCTGCACATTTTGCACCCATTTTTGTAAGGAGATCTATAATAAAAAAGAAATTTAAAAAATTCTCATTTAACCCTAGCAGAGTTATGGTTTGAAGTCTGAGGATCCATTCCACTTCCTGCCTCAGGAGCACCTGGTTATGATGACTCATCATTTTCTGAATGGCTCAGAAGATGATATCAGTGGGGAATGTGATTATGTTCCTACTGAAGAAGGAAGTGGAATAGATCCTCAGATTTCAAACCACAGCTCCTTGGGAGTTATATGAAAATCTAGATTTTTTACAACTGATGTGACTATAAATTTCACTGCATACTGGCTATCTGTTCTACAGCTCATGGGGGAATATTCTGAGAGACAGTTGCCTTAAAGGTTGGTTACATCCTTAATCTTTTTAATTTCGGGAACTTTAATCTGAAAATTATAATAATCTTGTATGGTCCGTGACTTTGTAAGTATGTGTAAACAGTTCAGTCTGTAAATATATGAGACTTGTTGTGAGGAAGAGCCTCAACCATTCCATCTCTGCTAAATAGTTTTACCATGCTCAGTTTGCATTGAATGGTCAATCTCTGGCTCTTAATGTTCTGTATTTGTTTGCATTGCAGTTTGCATTGAATGGTCAATCTCTGGCTTTTAATGTTCTGTATTTCTAAGCTTGTTAATAAAAATATATATCTATTTGTATATATGTTATTATAGATCCCCCAATGAAGCAGCATGTGAAATGTGTAGGAATCTTAGAGCAATACATAATAATTTAGAGCAATACAAAAGTTTTAACTTGCTCATTAATGATTTGGAGTTGGGAGTAAGCAGTGAAGTGGCTAAATTTGCGGATGATACGAAGCTGTTCAGGGTGGTGAAAACCAGTGAGGATTGTGAGGCACTCCAAAGGGATCTGTCAAAGATGGGCGAGTGGGCGTCAACATGGCAAATGAGGTTCAATGCGGCCAAGTGCAAGGTGATGCACATTGGAGCCAAAAAGACCCCTTTATGAGGAGTATTGATGGCCATTGCCCTAAACTGGGTGAGAGGCATGTCCCGTTACTTTTGTATGCGGACGATGCTGTCCTGCTCTCGCTCTCAGAAATGGGGATGAAAAGGATGCTTGCTCAAGCTCTTGCTTATTGCAATAAGAACAAGTTGTCCCTGAACTTCGATAAATCCAAAATCATTGTGTTCGAGAAAAGTTGGAAGCCCATTAAGTGGATTATACAGGGGGAAAAAATCGAACAAGTCAAATGCCATAGATACCTGGGCATCTATTTCAATTATACTAACAGCTGGGCTACACATATTAAAGAAGCAGTTAAGTCATCAACTAACAACGCCCTTGCTATTGCCCGTTTCTTTTACACCAAAGGACATCAATATATTCCCACTGCTCTTAAAGTATTCAACCACAAAATACCCGCCAAACTGCTTTATGGTATCCCAATTTGGGTCTCGGCTTGTAATGAAGCTGTAGAACGTGTTCAATCTAAGTTCCTGAAGAAAATCTTGGGGCTACCAGCTTGCGTACCATATGCAGCTATGTGCCTGGAGACAACCCAAAGACGGTTAATTACGATGGCATGGACCATAACCTTCAAATTTTGGCTGCGCCTTCATTTTAGATGTGGCCCAAACAGTCTTGTGGTGCACATGTTAACTGAATCCCATCTATCGACTTGGTTGATTAATATAGAGAAAAAAATTTATATAATCGGCTTTAGTTTTGATGACTTGGTACTTTTGTCTGAGCAGAAGGCTTTTGCCTTACTCAAACAAAGACTCCTTGATATAGAGGTGCAAGATCTGAGAAGACTGGCGCACAGACATTGCTCTCCCATGAGTATGGGACTTTCTTTTAGCCACATTTCCTCAGGATACCTGGCAAAACTGATTCAGCCCCATCTTCGTAGGGCTTTCATGCTAGCACGGTTCGACGTCCTTCCCTCAGCTGTTCTATCGGGAAGGTTCAAGAAAATTCCCTATAAAGATAGATTGTGCCCCTGTGGGATGGGGGAAATTGAATCCATTGGACATGTGCTATTGCACTGTAAATTACACTATGACATCCGTGTTGTTTATATTGAACCTGTGTTGCACCCCCTTTTGGGCCAATCTGATGAGCATAAAATTAGTTCTTTATTGTCTTCGCATAATATAGAAATTCTGGAACCTGTAGCAAATTTTTTTTATGAGGTAACTAGGAGGAGAGGCTCATGTTAAGGCAATTCGGAATGTGATACCCCTCCAGCCTATCTTGAGGCTCTGCTGCATGTGTATTTGATATTTTATGCCAATAAAGGTATTGTATTTGAGTGTTGGACTGGATGGGCCTTTGGCCTGATCCAACATTGGCATCTCTTATGTTCTTATGTTAATAATTTTTTCTTCCCACGGCACCATTGTTTTTTTCTTCTCTACTTTGACTCTGCATTGGTGGGCTCATCAGGAGCAGGTGGCCTGGTGTGCGGATCATGTGGTCAACTATACTGCTGTGTTGGGTGTGGCACAGCGCTGGAGACCCAAGATGCTTGGACTGGATTCACCGGAAGGCCAACAGACAGTGGAGGAAGGAAATGGAGGGTGGTTTGGGCCACTGTTTACCCCACCCCAAGATACAGGCCATCTTGGCTCACCTGTACAGGGATGATGGGGAACACTTATCTGACAACGGCAATGACATATTCCTGGGGGATTTGCGGCAAGGGTTGCAGGTGGCCTTGGGCTGCCCAGTAGGCACAAGGTCCTAAGCAGAGGTTTGGCCTTGACGGTGGCAGGTTATTGTGGAAAGAGGGAAAGCAGATCTGGTGAGCAACATAGAACACCTCCCGTGTTTGGGGTCAAGGGGTCCCTCAGGCTCAGCCTTTGTGCTTTTGCAGCCAAGGGCTGGGGGAAAGAGGACTGCCTTCAGGACTGCCCTGGCTGGGTTCCTACCCTCTAAATTTTATGGCTTGGGGGCAGGCACTGATGGGCGGCTCCCAGTTTGCTGGCCAGTGGCAAGCCAGATGTATGTCTCTAAACTGGAGCAAGGGTGGATCACCCAACATTTGGCAAGGACGTAGTCGTGGGGGTAACACCTGCCTTGGCCTAATTCTGCAGTCAGGATGTACCCTTGCTGCATATAATTTGTAAATAGTTAATAAAGTGGCCCTTAGTTAAACCCAACCTGGTGTCAGTGCCTCTTTCTTCAGACTGGGGGTGGGGCAAAGTACATATTGCTGCTATTCTTGCAGCAGGGCTGAAAGTTGGTATTGGCTGGTACTAATAAGAGACTGGCTGGTTTGATACCTCCAGCCTTCTGCTTCATGCCAACTGAGGGAGACAGTACTAATAAGACATTCAAGTTTCTTTCACCCCTGTCTTGCAGTCATCTTCCTGGCATCCTTCCTCCCCCATCAACATATCCTGCCAGATCACATGAATGTTCTTGGGACTTCTATTGAAAGGCCCTGGAAATCATTTTAGAGGAGGCCTATGTGAAGAGAATCAGATGCTCTTTATACTTTCTAACATTATAAAATAATGAGCAAACTGCAAATCTGAAAACCTAGAGTCCCATTTTATGTTTACCGTTTGGATTTAGCACTCTTGACACCTAATCAGCCAGAGTAATCCTCTGTGAAATACCTGATAATGGATGTCATCACCTGTTGCCTGGGGTTTTTAATCCTACGGAATCACACAGTTAACTGAGAAAAAGGAATACAGCTTCCCAATGTAATTAAAGACTCATTTGTTCTATGTAGTGCATATCCTATCTGAAGAAAGTACAGATCATTCCACACTTCACCCACCGAGATTCTCACCATAGGGTGAACTAATGAGAGCTGAGAATCCACCTTGATTTGCATGGGATTGGCATATCCTCCAGGGCTGTCAGGCCTTTCCCCTGTATTAATGCCTGTCCACATGAATGCGTCGGAAGATGGGTGCTGACCCGAGGTGATTGTCTTCATTTCCATTTCCAGCTCCAGTTCCAGCTCTGCTTCCTCTTTAGCTTCCTTGTTGCTTTCCTCCAGGTGTTTCATGAGCACAGCAATCACCACATTCACCAGGACAAATTGGGCGGTCAACACAAAGGAGACAAAGTAGATAGGTGAGATGACTGTGTTGTAACAGGTGGATTCCTCATCACAGTCCCGCAGCGTGTCCTGGGAATGGAGGGGGGGGAAGTAAAAATGGTTGTGGCATAAGAGAGAGAGAGAGCTTCGGACAGTCATGATCCACTAGAATTTGCAGTCTGGTCTACTCAATCTAGCTACAGGTCCAAATGGATTATTACTAAGGGCCAAAATCCATCAGGGCCAAAACCCATTGTAGAATTTCAACAGAACAGTGTCTACAGATCTATTCCAGTTTTGAAGTTGGCTCCCATGGCCCCTGCCTTTTATAGACTGGCTCTGCCACTTTAGCAGTGCAATCCTAAACACTCTTCTAAATCAAGTGAAGTCAATGGGCTTAAAATGGTGTAACTCTCCCTTTATCCTCTCTCCCCCCCCCCCCCCGGTGTGCAGGATACAGTCTTTGTGAAGGCTACTTTGTCCCATATTCAGGGCATTTGTGATGGCTGCAGCCACAACCTTTGAAGATTATTTGAGATCCTGGTGCACCCCAGTAGCACTATTAGTGAGTTCTAGAGCTGAGAAACCTCTGCAAAAACGTAGCAAGGCTTTTGATGGAAGGCGAGTTTCTCAGGTGGAACCCTCCAGAGGTTTGTGTGAATTCACCCCCCCCCCCCAAATCTGCAGTGGATTTTCCTTGGTTATTTCTGCCTAGATTCCAGAACCTTTATCCTTCTTGGGGCACCAAATAGCAGACTGGTTTTATAATGGTCTACCCAGAATGAAAAACATCTGGAGTTATGATCGGACTTTGTTTTCTGTTCCTTCTCATAATGCAATTATGCACCTGAAAGTGCTAAGAATGTGGGGCATCACAGCCCTTCTCTTGCAGATCCCTTTTTCTATTAATTCTATGCTCAAGAAAGCCCTTTGACAATTCATCTCTCTAGCCGTGACCTGGATAGCTCAGGCTAGCCTGATCTTGCTAGATCCTGGAAGCTAAGCAGGGTTAGTCCTGGTCAGTATTTGGATGGGAGATCACCAAGGAATACCAGGGTCACAAAGTAGAGCCAGGCAATAGCAAACCACCTCCAAACATCTCTTGCCTTGAAATCCCTACCATGGCAAAAATAAACAAAAAGCCTTCCTGAGGAACTCTGTTTACGTGATAAAACAAACTCATCAAGAGAAGCTAGCCCACCTGAATAAACCTTTTTAGCTATCTTACATGCTGAACTTAGATGGACATCAACTACAGCTGAGCTGGAAGTATTACCTGTTTTTCATGAATGTTTTCAGCAAAGTTAAAAAGTGTCTTTCTCCCTTGGATGGTCCTTTTCTTTTTTGGTGAGTAATATTGCTTTGTAAGTGTTTACTGATTCAAGGTGCATTGCCCTCACTCTGACTCTGTTTGCCCCCCCCATAACCTCAGCACATGCCCAAATCTTGGCTACATAGTGTCATGCTCAAAATTTGAACCCTGATTGGCTAGGATCATTCATGTGAGTCAAGCAGGAAAGAATAATAAGCTCTATTCATGAGAAAATTGTGCTGAAGCAGCAACAGTAAAGGGAAATAATGGCATAGCAAAGGATTAAAAACAAGTTTGGGAACAATTCTTGCACCCATATAGACAGTTTGTGCTCGGAAATCAAAAAGGGGAAATACTGAGCACACTCCTAGCATCTGCCATACAATAGTAATGCTCATTCTGATGGAGACATTACCTTCATTATCCCATTCCAGTTGTCTCCTGTGGATACACGGAAGAGTGTGAGAAAGGCCATCCCAAAGTTGCGAAAAGTTGCATGCCGCCCTAAGCCCTCACAGGGATGAGTAGCATCACATTCTGTGAGACAACCAAAAAATAAAGGTGATTTAGATGTATACTTCCTTCACAAATATTTACTTCATCCAGTGCTACAAGTGCGGCAGAAAACTTACCAAGATCTCCAAACAGCTCCACTCCAAGTGCTGCAAATATGAAAAACAACAACATGAAGAGAAGACCCAGATTTCCCACCTGTAAAGAGAAAAGAAACAGGGGGAAATAAATGTATTTACCAATTTATGTCTCTCAAGTAACCATTATTTCTTGGGCTGTTGTCTTTTTTTTTTTTGCTCATTGCAACACATTGCTGTTTTGTGTCAGATATGTGTGTCTATGCAATACTCTGTGCATATAATTAGTGCTACTAAGAAAAATTTAAGCCCACAAATCCAAGACAAGGAAACATGTATATGCTGTGAATATATGACAAGCAGCATAGACTACTGGCAATAGCAGAGAACAAACCAAATTAAACCAAGACACAAAGATATATAACAGAATAATTAGTATGGTCTGGACATACCCAATCAAAGGAAGCGAAAAAGTAGCTCTCTCACTCAGTGATAAAATATTGCTTGAACCACAGAAAAGACAAGGGAGAGACTCAAAAGTCCCATAAGATCCTCTGAGAGCTTTGTGATAAGGCATAGTTTACCTGTGGCAATGCTTGCATGACTGTGTCCAGCAGAGCTCGCATCCCTACAGCCATCTTTAACAATTTCAACACTGCAGAAAATGAAATGTTGATTATATTACTATCATAGTACTGCACTGTGAAGAGACTAGAAATATAGTGCAGAGTAGGTACAGATTCACTAAGCATCATGCCAAGCATTTTCCATTGGAAGCAAAAGCACAAGACCGTTTTATGTGAAGAGTTCCATTGTTGCCAGGAGCTAGATTAGAAACATCCAAAATGGAACTGCATGTCCAGGGGCTCTGAGAATGAAATCCTGCCTCTTGCCCTCAGTAAACTAGGGGCTTTCTGACCCTGGGCCAGTATTACAATAGTGACCTTTTTTGTCCTGGCAGTGAGTACTGTTACTACATAAACCAGTTTGGAAAGGTCAGAAATCAGACTGTGAGAACTTTGCTTGCAGCAGCAAAATTATAAAGCCAAGTGAATTTCCATTGATTTCAATGGTAGCAAGACTGAAGACTATCCAGGATGTACTAAGGAAGTGAACCCATAACCTTCAGAGCAAAGAATTTTTATAACCTATGAACTAATGCCACCAGCTTGGTTTGTTCTGTAACAAGCTTCTTTAATACCTTGGTGTTTGGAACAGATAATATCATCTATAACTCCCTTCCTTGGGAATTCAAAGGACAGAAACTCATCTGGCACACCTGAGAACTGAATGGTATGAATCTGTCCTTATATACTTTTCTCACTGCACTATCAACTGGTTACCCCAGTGATGAAAACCCTTTTCTGAGTAAACATAGTTAGGACTGGATTGTCAGGAAGACAAAGTACACTGAGATGGGTACTAGCCAAGTGGTTTATGCTTGGAGTATAGCCACAGCCATACCATATTGGACATCTTACTGTACCAGAAAATTCAGTTTCTTTAGGATCAGAAGTTATGTAAACAGAATGCCCCAGGAGTAATTGGGGACTGACCTCGAGCAATCCTCAGGACTCTCATGATGCGGATAATGGTGGGGTTAATGGGCAGTGATGCATTCACTTCGATCTCCTCCAGTGTGATCCCCATAATAGACAACAGCACGATTGCCAAATCTAATTGGTTCCATCTGAAGGTGATGCAAAATATCAAATGGAAAGATCTGCTAAAATATTTGCAGTGGGGGTACTTTTGTGACAAAATAATTCCACTCATTTCATTCATACCAGCACACATTAATCCACATGCCACCTCAAGCGGTCTTTGAGATTAAATGTTAAAAGAAAAACATTTATTATTAGATTATAAGACTAGCCAAGCCAGAATACACCACAGACTGGAACAAAGAAAGGTCAAAAGCAAAACTCAATTAATGTGGAGGGTAACCCAGATGATAAAAAGGAAGTCAATGTTGGTTTATATTTTTTATTGTTTTTAATGTTTCCTTTATGTTACACTTCCAAGAACAGCTCCCAATGAATTTAGGGAGAGTCATTCCAAAGTTTTTTTAAAAAAAGTCCCAAGGCCCAGTTACTATTACAGGGTAGGATAGGGTTTTGAGGTTATCCTGAGGTCTCTTAAAAAGAGCAAAGAAGGATCAAATAGAGAGAACAGAATGTTATGTGAAGTTTGTTGAGATGTAGAGAAAATATTTTACTTTGCATAATGTTTTTGATAGCTAATCAAGAGAAATATAAAAAAAGAAGACAAGGTAGGGATCCAATGTTAACTGCATAAAGATCTGAATGTATTCCATCTGCTCATGGTTTAGTGTATGTATGTATATTGTTCCCACTCTACTGATCTCACTAGCCAGTGTTAATCCAGTCCCACCCTGCCCTCTGTTTCCAGAGGCCTCATGACATAAATCAAGATGTTGTTTCTTTCCCTCTCCGCCCCCATAGCCACCCTGCAAGTGAATGCGCCTATCTGGGACAGTAGGATACATCAAGAAAGGATATAGCAAACGGAGCAAGCTGGACCTTAAAAAGTGAATACATTGCCATCATTTTCAAGTCAACTGTGTAGCAGAGAAAATGGAATTGCTGCTCTTTTAATTTCTTCACCATTCACATACTCAGCAAACAGAAGAAAAGGGGGGGAGATGGAGGAGAAGCAAGGGAGCTGCTGCTGCAAGCCACTGGTACCTTTGTGCAGGAGTCTAGATGAGTCATAAGAACAAAAGACCTTAAGGGCAGACCTGCTGGATCAGATCCAGGGTCTACATGATCCAGTGTCTTGTTTCCAATTGCACCCATCCAGATCCCTTTGAGAAACTTCCAAATAGGATGTGAAGGCAATGTCTCCACCTTTGTTACACATTAGCCACATCTGTTCAATGACATACTGCCTCTGAACGATTAATCAGTGTGGCTAATAGTCACTGATAAATCTGTACTCTGAAATCTGAAATATGGCTAACACCACTGTACAGACACCAAGACATCCACCCATCATGTGGAAGCAACTTCCATACAGTAATTATGTACTGTGTATCCCTAAATCTATCGCCAGATAACTTCATTGAAGGAGGAGGAGGAGAAGGAGATTAGATTTATACCCCACCCTTCCCTACCCAAAAGAGTCTCAGAGCTACTTACAATCTCCTTTCCCTTCCCCTCCCCACAACAGACACCCTGCGAGGTAGGTGGGGCTGAGAGAGCTCTTTTAAGAACTTCTCTTGACAGAACAGCTCTGAGAGAGCCATGACTGACCCATACAGCAGCTGCATGTACAGGAGTGGGGAATCAAACCTGGTTCTCCCAGATTAGAGTCCGTGCTTCAAACCACTACACCAAACTGGTGGACCCCAGGTTCTAGCATTATGAAAGGAGGGTTGGAAGAAAGTTCTTTTTATCAATTCTCAAGTCTTACATAATATTATAAACATTTATTATAATTTTACTTAAAATGTCTTCAACTTTATACAAACACATTTCCATCATAATCTCTTATAAAACTTTAGCCATGTTTTCGCTACCTGCCCCCCTGGAATCCCAAACTCCAGCATTTCCTGGTAAGCAAGGTGCTACAGCCCCTTGATAATTTTGTTTGTCCTTTTTTGCTCCTGTTCCAGCTTTGCAACAATCTTTTTGTGATGGGGACAACCTAAAAGCAGGATGGGCACTGTCAGAACAGTATTTTGCATAGCTGTATTTTTTATCCCTAACTCCCAGCTACAGGTTCAGCATGGCAAATAATGTCAGCAGTCTAGAACAGTAAACATGTACTATATATAGGCTTGCCAGGTTCCTGCTGGAGGCAGTTTCTGGTGATTCCTAAAGTGGACAGATGTCATTTCTGGGTTCTCCCTGAAAATGACCTTATGCTGTTGTGACAACAGTGTCCTGTCCGTCCTTGCCCCCCCCCCCCCCATATTCCCAGCCTCTCGCTTGTTGCCAGCCATTGGCTGGCAACCCTAACTGTACAGCTTGTACGCCTGAGCCAAAACCACAGCACTATACCCTGAAGATACCCTGAGTCCAGGGGCAGGAAAATCTGAACATCACTGACTCAATTGTCAGGCAAAATGATGTGGTAAAATTGACTTCTCTATTTCAGGCAGCAGACGAAGGTTGCCATTTTTGAACATATTTTCATCCATATAATGCTTTTCTTCGAGTATAAGCACATCTAGAAGAAATATTCTAATAGGCCCTGCCATGCTATTTTTCTGCTTGCAGGTGGGTTGTTTTGTTTGCTTTTTAAATGAAGGAACATTAAAAAATCATTACCTCCCTCCCTTTGCAGAATGAATGTATATAGTTTTTTCCTGATACTTTAAGACTCAGTGATCTCATTCCAATTCTACCTGAAGCAGCAGAGGGGTGGTATCAGCTTAAGGAAATGGACATAGTCAAAGAATTGGTGTCATATAGGGGTTACCACTGGACCAGGTCTAGGGAGTTCCAGATTCAGACCACTTGCCATGCAGCTGGCTGGGTGACCGTAGGCCAGTCTTGCTCTCTAAGCCTAACGAACCTCACAGGGTTGATATGAGAATGAAATGGAGGAAGGGACAGCCATATATGCCATTCTGAGCTGCTTATAGAAAGAACAGGATAAAAATGAAATAAATATTCCAAGGCAAAGTGATACCTCAGCTCCTGCATGATTCACAAATTAGTTTATACAAAGACTTCAGCCCCTTGGAAGCAGTCCAGTCTAAATTCCTCAGAAGCATATATATATATATGGTGTTCCTTGCTGCACATCAAATACAATTCTTAAATACTTGGTACCAAGTAATATGCTTCTGGCTAAAGCTACATTTAAACTGACTGGATTAACACCCCCCCCCCCCCAATTCTTTTGGATAGCTACCACTCAGGTTGGGCGGATGCAACTGAGAATAGATTACAACTTCTTGGCTTCTCCACCTTATGCCACCTTGGGTTCTTGGGAGCTAAAGGAATGCTTAAGCAACAAATCACGGACATAGCTCTTCAAGCTGATAGAGCTCAGGCACACTTCTATCTGGCAGTAGGAAATAATAACCAAGACTTCATGCCAGTGATTTTTACGCTCTAGAATTTCTAAAATACCACAGAGCTTTCAGCTTGGCCTGCTTTAATCACTTGCACTCAGTGCTACTGGAAGGGAGATACTTACACACTAGGGATGGGCAAGAACTGCACTTTTATGATTCGGTTCTGGGTTCATGGGTGAACCATGAACCAGACCATGAACAAATATGTTGGTTTGCGAACCAAACTGGTTCATATCAGTTTGTGAACCATTCAAACCCCTGCTTTCTGCTCCTCACTGCTTTTTGCAGGGAGCAGTAAACAGGGTTCAAATGGCTCCAAGCCATTTAATCCCTTGCTTTCTACTCACCATGAAAAGCGGCAGGGCCATTTAAACTGAACAGCTGAGCCCCCCACTGCTCAGTTGTTTTTCATGAAGAGCAGAAAACAGGGGTTTAAAATGGCTTGGAACCATTTAACCCCCTGTTTTCTGCTCTTCACGAACTGCATAAAAATTAATGGAAGTTCATGGCAGCCCTTCAGTTTGCGAACATTGCTTCACAAACCACGAACCAGGCCAACATTTGTGACAAACTTTAGTTTGTCAGCTGGTTTGGGACCATCCATATTACATACTCCCTACTACCAACATCTTTGTTCCTGTGGAACGTGTTATTATACTGCCTATTTTACAAGGACATTTGTTCCACATACCTTACTCCTGTACTATCTAAGTTCCCAGGAAGATCTGATAAATTCTATATATATCTCCTTCTTGGAGACCGATGTAATGAGACCACCTCTAAAGTGGCCAAATTCTATGATGAGGCTTTGACCATAAGAAAGCAGACATTCCAAACCATTAAAGAACATTTGATCAAGCCACCATCTATATATACAACTATGATCTGTAATTCCATTTCATTGTCTGATGAAGTGTGCGTACACATGAAAGCTCACACCTTGCATAAAACTTTGTTGGCCTTAAAGGTGCCACTGGACTCTAACTTTTATCTATAATCAGTTATACCCGTAAGGTTATGAATTTTATGACTGTTGATGTATGTTGTAAAAATCTGTATTGATGACTAACTGGGTGGTTTGTAATTTTGGATTTTCAGGACAGTTGTATACTGTTTTGCAGTTATTATATTTCTTGATATGTTATACTGCCTCTTAATAAACAGGTTTAAAAATGAATTTTAACTCTTGTATTTTAATCTTATATCTGTATGTAAATTGTGCTGATAAACTACTTGGCTGATCTTTGATTGAAATAAATGTTGATGATGGTGATGAACTAAATAAATAATGACACACTCTAAGAAGGTTGGTTCAGTCAAGTCACTTTTCATTTTAATGAGCAGAACCAGAACTGGCCCCAACATCAGGCAGAGTGATGTGATCCTCCTCGACTGGCATATTTGGGAGACCATTAAAGGGCAGCAAAATGTCAGTTATCATATTATTACAATTTATTTTTATTTATTTTTTTAGAAATGTTTGTGTTGCCTCTCCAGGACCTATGGCTTACAACATAAAAATAATGAAAAAGAAAACATTAAAAGATATCAATTAAATCGCAGCATTGGGCCCGGGGGGGGGGGGGGAATCAGTCCAGCATAACAACAGAGACCATAAAAACAGACCACAGACAGCTTAAAATAAGTTTCCAGACTAAAATAATTAAAAAATAATAATTCAAAATCAACCGCTTAATTAAAAGCCTGGGTGAATAGAAGTGTTTTGGTAAGTAAAGTAAATACAGATGGTATGAGAGCCTCAAGGGGAAGGGTATCCCATAAGCAAGTACTGAAAAAGCCATGTCTGTGATTGCCGCCACCCCTCACCTCTGAAGGCAGGGGCACAGAGAACAGGGCTTGCGAGGCAGATCTTAACTGGTGGGCTGTACCTTCATGTACCTTGGCCCCAAGACATTTAGGGCTTTAAAGGTAATGGGGGATGGCGCCATTTGGACTTTCAGTTTAGGCACCAACATGTCTTGGGCCACCTGTTTGTAATTTTTGCTCTGATTAGTACAGTACTTTTTCATAGATAACCACTTTGATCAAGGCTCCATGATGTTAACTACATCTCCATATTTCGATCAACACAGAATTAGGGTTGAGACACTTTGAAAGAGTACTTTCATCACTTTACAAGTGACCATGTCACTCACTACCTGTCTTGGAAGAACCGTCGAAACCCAAATGCAATGAGTTTGAAAACAGATTCCATGACAAAGATGACGGTGAAGATGTAATTGCAAATCTTCAGGGCTTCATCAAGAACCTGAAATGAGGAAACACATGTGAAGTTTCTGCAGTTATTCAAGAAGGATTACCTGCCTTTCTGTTTTCAACAAGATTCTCTCAATGAGGAAAAGAAATCAAAAGCCAAAAAGAAGACAAAGCAGGAAGGAATGTGGGCCTGACACACTCTTGAATAGTGTGAAAATCTGAACTTTTCCTGTTCTCCAAAGTGAAGATGATAAGGACAGATTCTGCTGTCTTTCAGGCTGCCTTCTCAAAACAACAGACAACAACTAGGCTCTTGCACCTGGATGGATTTCATTTTGTGAGAGGAAGACAGCCTGTACTGATGCAACCCTTGAGCCAATCCTTCCAGAATAATCTATAGTTCCTTTGTTTCACTGTCAAACTCCTGTTTTCTGCTGAAATCTTACTCCACATCTGTCTAAAGTCCAGAGGCAATCTGTGGCCAGTAGTTTGAGACCACTGCCTTAGGCCAGCCATGTTAGGTGTGTATGCTGGTTTAGCCGTCAACCATTACTCTCTATCCACATGACAGGCAGGTAGAATTAGCTAACCATCTGTTTTTTTTAAAAAACAAAACAAAGTCGCTCTCCTCTGCTTCATAATAAGCACCTGCCACTGAGCAACTCTAATGTCAGCTGTAGTTCAGAACACAGCTAATGACATATTTCAGCACAAAGTAATTGGATTGTGTAACAAGCTCCCCACAAGGTGAACCTGCAACCTGGGCCATGCACTACCACCTTAAACAAGACATTTTCTCCACCCCTCTCCTTTTTAATTGCCTCACATTAGAAGACTAGGTAGAGTTGAGCCTTTATAATTGCCTCACCTTTGCTTTTGTATTGCTTTTATTACTTCTCAAACCAGTCACTAATAAAAAATAAGTACAGCGCACAAATTGGCAGTGAATTCCATCTCACTCTCATAACCAAGTTATTTGGCAGTTCATTATAAGTAGTTGTTTTAATTTGAATGTGATGCTAAATACAAGAGCCTGGCATGCTAATACACAGGGACCTGCTGTTTAGCCAAAATGCTAAGTCTTCACAGTGGAAATAAAAGAGAAGTCATTTTATTTTTCAGGCCTGCTGAATAAATAAATCCATGATGTTGGGGGAATAGACATCTAATGCAATAAAATTCTGTGCAAAAGACTGCAGGATTTGACCTAGACATGACTAGGGATAGGCATGAACCAGCTCACGAACTAAAGTTTGTGATGAATGTTGGCCGGTTCATAGTCAACCGGTATGAACTTTCCATGAACTTTCAAGCAGTTCATGGAGGTTTGTTGCGATTTGTGAACAGAAACATTTCCAGACTGTTTCTGCTCAATCTAAATGTTTACCAAACTTCAAAGCAACAGGGGGGACGGAACTTGGATGGCATGTAGAGGAGCATCCAGGGGAGGTCCCCTGTGACTTTGATTTCTCTAGCTTGTACATAATCAGTTCAATACCCTCCTGAACCTGTGCCTGTCATTTCCCCAGAAAGTACTTTCCTGGGGGCACTTTCTTTGGGGGCCTGTAAATCCAATCCTCGCGCACCTTGGAGGGTAGGTAGAGTCAGCTGGAGATCCAGTTTGGTGACTCTAGCATGCTGGGGGAGGGGATTCTACTGCACTATGAACCTCACAAACTGAACAAGTTCATTTGGCCCCTAAAAGTTCATGCTGGTTCATGGTTTGCGAACCAGGCACCCTGCGAACCAGGCACCAAGCCTCATTTCTCCAGTTCATGCTCATCCATAGAGATGACCAATTATTACTTAATGAATATTAACATTAGGACATTATTATTATTTGGTGCTTAGACTTGCCCTATTTTGCTGTTGAATCTGGCTGCAAAGTAAAATCGTTAATACAATTAAAAGCCATTTTAAAAACATCAAATATCATTACCTTAGAATAATAGTGCAAGCAAACAGTTGTAAATTAAAATAATTTTATTGGAATTTCAAAAGGACTTCCTTAAGAAGAATTCTGAATGCCAGAAAGGAATCAGATATGGTGAGCCTGCCTAGAGAAGGTCCTTGATCTTACGGACACTGTCTATGCCTCCAACAACTAGGGCATACAGGACTCCTTTGGAGGTGCTGAAACCTGAGGGGGAACAGTGTATTACAGTATTCCTTCAAACACTTCATACCCATTCCATTTATGGCCTTAAAGATCTAAAGCAATACTTTGAATTGAGCCTGGAAAAAGAATGGCAACTAGGTCAGTTCCTTCAAAAAAAGTGAGTATGCTCTAACTGGCTCGCTCTGGTTGCTGCTGAATTTTGGAACAGCTGTAAATTCTACTTTCTTTTCAAAGGCAGCCCCACTTTGGGCATATTATAGTGGTGTAACCCAGGGTTATCATGACATATATCACAATGTTCAGTTCTCTGTTGTACAGAATAGGTATACAGTTGGCATCAGAGCTAGGTCACTAGCTATTTCTGGTAGACATAGGACCACATAGATGTTGGGGGGGGGTAGGCTTATAAACCTTGCCACATGGAAAAGGGATATAACAGTTAGTCCTGGAAGTCCCAGCCTTCTGATTCTCTGCCTTAGCTAGTCTTATTGGAAGAGCTGTTGGGCATGCAGTAGCTCCCAGATTCAGTCCCCAGTATCTCCAGTTAAAAAGTCCAGCCAGTAGGTCATATAAAAGACCTTGCACCAGAGACCCTGGAGACTCGCTCCTAATCAGAGTATAGAACACGAACCCTGATAAAGCAATGGGCTGACTCAGTATAAGACAGCTTCAGATGATCAGAATCAGAGAGAACACTGGTACTACACATTTTGCTTTTAAAAACATTTCGTTATGGTTTCTGAAATCATTTTATTTTCAGCAATATAACAGATGGTCTGGTTTTGCCATTGTGATTTAACTCTTAAGGAAATGTCAAAAATAAGATCTGGAAAAAAGACAACAAGACAGTGGGGAGAACACAAGAGTGCAATGACATAATCTGGATTCCATGTTTAAAACTCAATGGGGCAGTGGTTCAGTGGTGGAGCATCTAAAAATTATTTTATAAACTTCAGAAACAAGGTAGTTCTAAATCTTTCTGTGTTAATTTATTTATTTTATTTAAGTCATTTATACCCCACCTTTCTTCTCAATGGGGACCCAAAGCAGCTTACACTATTCTCCTTGCTTCCATTTTATCCTCACAACAACCCTGTGAGGTATGTTAGGCTGAGAGAGTGTGACTGGCCCAAGGACACCCAGCAAGCTTCCATGGCAGAGTGGGGATTCAAACCTGGGTCTCCCGGATTCTAATCCAACTTTCTTAACCACTACAACACACTGTGTGCCTTATTCTGGGAAGTTAACTTGGTGTTGCTTGTTATAAAAATATGATCGATATATTTATTTTTAAACCAAACAATGAAATGGAAGAGGATCCAAAATTCACAATGATAGTCACCTCAGACAAATAAAATGCCTACAACATTAAACTAAAAGTGCACATGAATCTCAGAATTGCTTTGCAGGATCTAGCCAAAGATCTATATAGCCCAGCATGTCTCTAACGGACAGAATGGATATGAGATCCATAATGCAATCTCCCTTGGCACTTTAAAGGGTTTTAGAACCACAGCCATGGGACTCCTGATTTAAGCTGTTATTATAGCACTGGGGGGGGAGAGTAATGTATTTCTCTCTCTCCCCCCCCCAGCTCACAGTTTGCCACCAAAAGGAAAATGTACAGGCAACAAAATGATGCTTGTATGTTTCCCCTGTTGGGCAAATACCAGCTCTTGGGGAGTGGTGGGCGGTAATTTTCATTAGAAAGCCTAATCTTGGGTTATGGGTCTCCCACCATCAGTTTGGCCTGACTGTGGCTAGCCAGATGCATCAGGAAAGCTTTCAAAAGGGGTACGATTTTATCATCCTATTCTGTTGACTACCCACCACTCAAAAAAAGAATAAGGAAGGAAGGGAAGGGGTGGAAGTGCTGGGAGGGTAAATGTGTGAGTGCCTGTTTGCAAGTGAAAGAGGGAAAAAGAAAACCTTGTCAAAAAGATACTGCCAAACCTGACGACAGTAGCAAATAGGAAATCTGTGCCTCCTAGCATGACCCTTAAGACTAAAAACCATCTTGTACTTGCTAAGCTTTTTGACTCCTGGCCATCAGAAAATGACAGAAACAGCATCTACATAAGTAAAAGGTTACTAGATTTTGGCCTTTCCTTGAACTAAGCTGATATGTAGGTTTTCTCTGTCACTGACAGGCAGCATTCAAGAATGGGCATGGAGTATAATCACATCTTTGCCATTTCTGTCATGGTAGCAATTAAAACCCTTTCTGTGATCTGGAAAGACAGTATCAGTATATTTTGAAAAGATCAGCAAAGAATCCCTTGGGGAAAGGCTTTCCCACAGAGATTAGTTTGCCAGAGAAGAAAGGAATAAGTGCTTAAAGACTTTCAAACTGGATTAATGCTCTGTTTGGTTGCTCTGCTAGATTCTTTGCTGTAAACAGATGATGTAACTGAAGGTTACTGTTGAATAGAAGGAAGTTTCTCAGAGTCATAAAATACCTTTGGCTTCTACAGATAATAAAATATGAAGGTCCACTTCAATATGCAGGGGCACTTCATTCACATGTTATGAAAATCTTGCACAGACAACGGTTTCATAAAGAGATGGCTAGATGGTAATAAGGGCTGTGTGCTCAGAAATTCACTAATGAAAATTTGATCCAAGTTCCCTGTTTTCTATAATATATTTAATATTCGGCATCTGATCACTAAAAATTGCAACAACTGGCAATCTCCAGAAATCTCCACTGTATCTTCCAGTGCCTAAGCTTTCTGCATTTTACAGGGACACTAAGTAGCAGTGAGTGGTAGAGGAAGGGGGAGAGAATGACTCAGCAGATACTCTAACCAACACAGGGTGCCTTCCAACCAAGCATTAACAGATACTTCTGCTGAAGAGGTTCTTTCCCATAATAATTTATGTGAACAGCATTTTAATTTTCTGCCCATCCCTGCAGTGTCTCAGTAGCTTTCCTTGATTCTAGATCAAGAATTGGAACCTAGTCAAATGTTATTTCATTCTCTGCTATGGTTCTGAGTCTACATGTATGGTAGGGGCAGAAAGTCGACACTGCAGACGGCAACTTGTGGAAAGCAAAGGCAGAGGCAGTGGGCAGTGAATAGGGGGCAAATAATTTGATTCTATGGCAGGTATGCAGAGGACAAATAAGAAGGGAAGCCAGTTTGGTGTAGTGGTTAAGTGTGCTGACTCTAATCTGGGAGAACCGGGTTTGATTCCCCACTCCTCCACTTGCATCTGCTGATGTGACCTTGGGTCAGTCACAAGCTCTGGCACAGCTGTCCTTGAAAAAGAGCAGTTTGTGTCAGAGTTCTCTCAGCCCCACCCACCTCACAGGGTGTCTGTTGTGGGAAGGGGAAGGGAAAGGAGTTTGTAAGCCGCTCTGAGACACCTTTGGGTAGTGAAGGGTGGGGTATAAATCCAATCTCTTCTTCTTCTTCTTCTTCTTCTTCTTCATTCTTCAATGGATGGTCAGCCATTGTACAATGGATCGATTCAGCTGTTTTAATAATCTGCGTTTTGGGGGGAGGGGATTGGTTTTAATGGCTTTTAAAGGTAACTTTATTATGTATATTTTAATGCAGGGGTCCCCAACATGTTCCCCATAGGCACCATGGTGCCCACCAACACGTTTCCTGGTGCCCACGAAGTATTTCTATAAAGTGGGTGGGGTCAGGTGCGGCTTTCCCCAGCAGGCTTTGGATTGGCCATTGGAGATTTGATTAGCTTTGTCTGTTTCTTAAAAGATGCTTTGGCAGCAACTTCCACCACAGCACAATGGTCTTTGCTGTGTAACTGAAGTTAAGCTGTGACAGACATATTCTGGCTGGTTCCACCTCCTGCAGTAGCCATTTTATGGCAGCCATTTTGTAACTGTGTCCACCATGCTGTATCAGAATTCCAAAGGTCCCGCCACGCTCAAAAAGGTTGGGGACCCCTGTTTGAATGTATTGGCCACCTTGGTAGCCCTTGTGAGAGTATGAAGGTGGGATATAAAATTTGTAAAACAAACAACAACAACAACAAAAAGTGGGCCAGAGGTAGAGGATTGGTTATACACTATATCCTCTTCGCCCCATATAACTAGCAAAGGAGGCAAATGTTTTGCTTGTATTCTATGGCAGGTAGGCAGAGGACAAATAAGAAGAAAAAACACCTCCCTCCAAACGAAACGCAAGACCAACAGATGAGATGCAAGAGATCTATCCAGGAAACATCTCAGTTTCCTCTTTTTCTGTGCCTGAGAGATAAATCTTTTGTCTTTAATTTCATGTAAATGTAACCACAATCTCCCTTCTCCCAACTGTTATGAGCTCCGGTAGGGAAAAAAATAACAGACAATCTTTCACTAATGTGTCAAAAAGGGGGAGTGGTGGGGTTTCTATTTTTAAATATGCAAGCAGAGTGTGGGGGCAAGAAGAACTTTACCTTCCAATTTCTTACTCTGTTGCTTGAAGTGTTTTTCTCAGGCTGGCTCCAAACCAGGCCTGGTTATATACCAGTCAAACAAACTCTATAATTTGGTTGGGACATCGAGTGGGTTTAATTTGGCAAAGCTGAGTGGGAACAAGGCCACTTTCCTCTTCAGTATGGGGATATGATTTGTACAATTTTATTTCTGTTTCATTTATTCTTCCATATCAATAACAGAAACAGTACTAATGCCTTAGCACCTAGCAATATTCTGTTGTACCTTAGGTTGCTGGTAGTGCTCCATGGCCATGGTAATGACATTCAGCCCAATCACGCCTGTGATGAACAAATCCAGATAATGGGTGGTGCACATCTGGTGAATCAGAAGTCGGAAGCGAGAGTAATCAGAGTAGTAGGGTTTACACTGTGCTTCTGAAAAGGGGGGGGGGGAAAGGGGAGAAGCAGATCAGATAATTTCTCCTTGCCTTACAACCGGTTCAGAACTCGCTTCCAATATTTTCAGGCTGACACATCCTACCAAATAACGCTTTTTTAAAAAAACAGGTGACACGGGGGGAGGGGGACAGGAGGCAATATGTTATCATTGTTAATGCACAGCAAAGCTTCAAAGTCATGTTTCTGTTCGAGCAACTGCATGCGCAACAGCGAGGCTTTCAAGATTAGAGAGAAGGTGAGCATTGCTTGGAATCGTCTCAAGTTCCAAGATCATTTATACTGTGAAGATTACTGTTCACATGTAACACATATCTCTTTAGTTGATGTATAATCAAATGAAATGTTTCCTACCATATTTTGAGTTTACGAGTTTGTATAAGTTTCAGAGGATAGCCACGTTGGTTTGCAGTAGAACAGTTAGATTTGAGTCCAGTAGCTCCTTAAGAGTTTCAAGGTATCAGCTTTTGAGATTCAAAGCTCCCTGGAGCTTCTACTCTTGAAGGCGTGTACCACCCAGAACGTCATGTTGGTCTCTAAGGTGCTACTAAATAAATAAATACTGGACTCAAATCTGAAGGTTAGTACAAGTGACAAATACTAGTGTGGCTATGTGGTATATATTCTATTTTACAGCAGTTACACAGCACCTAGTAACCATGTACAAGCACGAGTTCTACAACACTATATGTATGAGACTGTGAACGATTAAAATGGCAGCATGTAAGAACTCCTACTCAAGCAGAAGATCTATATACCTTGCACATTTTTATCCCATCCTTCATCCGTGGAATTCTTTGCAGTCTATATAGTACTTCTTTCTTCCATTTTACCCTTACAGCAACCCTGTGAAGTAGGTTAGGCTCAGAATGTGTGACTGGCCCAAGGTCACCTGGAAACTTTCACAGCGGGGTGGGTGGGTGGGTGGATTGAAACTGAGTCTATTAGATCACAGTCCAACACTCTAACCACTATATCACTCTGGTACAAAGATTTCAGTAGAGTGCTAGCTTGGCAAAAATGTTAAGAGTCTTAAGGGGAAAAAGAAACTACACAGAGCCATCCTAAGCAGGTCTACTCAGAATGCAATTCTCATCTATTCATTGGGTCTTACTCCCAGTAAAGTATTTTTAGGGTTGCACTTTTTGAGGATCATATAGTTTTCAATTAATGGGTCTGCTTGAAGAAACAAACATGAACTTACATTACAATGTTTAGAAGTTCAAGGGAGAGAGGAAAACCAACCCTGGCTTCCCCTGCTGTCAGAGTTATGGAAATAATTTATGAGGTACTGTGGGACATTGTTCGGTCGGAGTTTGCACTTAGGAAACAACGATCTTTCATTTATGTGTGACTGCCGAAATGCAGATGTCCCTGTTAGTTTCCTGTGTTTGGCTGCATCAGAGATGACACATACACTTTAGACCCTGAATGTTCCAGCAGATAAACTCATTTACCTAATCACTAAAGAGGAAATGCCAAGGCTGAGTCTATAACGCAGGGCAATTTTCAAAGAGGCATTAAAATGCAGCATAAAATGAAAAGGACTGTCTTGAAGATGTCACAGTATAATATTGCACCCATAATTAGATGATTAACTGGTTATGAAAATTATTGAGCCAAAAGAATTGAATGGTGTGGCATTTAAGCAACACTCAACAAATACAGGATTGATGTATTGCTTTGGGTAGGATGAAATTTGAGTCTTTGTGATCTTGGGAAACAGTTAATTTTTAGGTTATTCCATTTTCTCTGAGACTGCACATATGATTTTCTTCTTTGATAGCTAAGATCCAATATCTTACCTATGATTGAGGCAGCTAGCCAGCTAGCCAGTCATATGCACTGTAGAGGAGCAAGCATGTGCCCCTTCACTTCTCCATGCACCTGAAGTCATGGAGTTTCCATATGGATCCCCATAGAAACAAAGGCTCATGTTTATGCACTCTTTCTGATTTACTTTAAAGAGGAAGAATCTCATGAATCAGCCCCTTGCACAGCTAGGTCTCTCAAAGAATGGCCTACGCTTCATGTTACTTTAGGTGTGCTAGAGGGGAGAAGCGTGGACCTAATGATCCTCCACATGAAAGGATTGTCCAGTTCAGTAAATTCTGACCTAGGCTTGGCCACAGATTATACAATTAACATGCATTCCTTGCTTTGATACATGAAATATCCAAATCCCCAACCTCCACCCCTGAAACAAAGACAAGAGTGTAAACATTTAGCAGATTATCCTGTGGGGTTTGGCATTCCCAAATATTTGCTCTGGTATGCCAAACAGCAAGCATTAATGCTTGCTTTTGGAGCAGCCAGTCTGCAGATAATCTGACCCTGTATGCCATGGCATGATAGGGAAGACAAGATCTACAAAAGGAATTTTGATGCTGAGTAAATTCATTGCTAAAAAACAACCCCCTGCCCCCCCAACCTTAGATGGGTTGGGTTGGTGGCTGGCTGACTCACAATTTTCGTCAGAGCCTTTGAATTCTGCATAAATTTCCATTAAAAACTCAGATATCTCGATGACATTATGCAAAACTATGAAGAGGAAATTAACTAAAATGTCTGAATACAATTAAGTTATGAATGGGGCCCTGGTTATGAACCAAGTTATAATTTCAAAGAAAAACCCCATTCTCATTTTCTGATCTCTTATTGTTCAATGCTTATCCATAATTCACATTCAAACAGGAAAATGTCACCATTTTCTGCCTTTTCTTCAGGAGGATTTATTTATGAATAATTACACTGGAATACAAGGGTTCAGGCTCTGACTGGCAGATTAATTCCAAACCCCACACAATAACAAAAGAGGCTGTTAACATATAGCAGGGATTTGCAGAGATTGTAAAATGTTACCTGCATAGCAACAAAGCATGTGGCTGCATGACCTTATAAGCAGGGTTACTCATTTTCCATACTGTATATGGTTGGTGAAGACCGATGTAATATTTCGAGAGAAGTCATTGCAGATTCTTCACCTGAAGAGTGAGCTCAGCTTCCTCCTGTCTCCTCAGTTTGCATGACAGATGTACATACATACTAGCTAACTGAATGTTTAGTTTATCATATTTTTAAAATCTCACTCTTACTTCAAAGGTGTGAGGTTAATCTAGATATCTAATACTGAAGTCGCCCCCTGCGTGCGGATACTTATTTCCGCACATCGGGGGCACCTGGGGGGGAGGGAGATGTTTGTGCACACTTGGGGCAGTCCCCAGGTGTGCACAAAAATCTGAAACCTGTAAAAAAACATTGGAGGGATACTTAAATCCCCCAAAAGTGACAGAGCGTCCCCTGCGCATGCGCAGGGAATGCCTTGCACCCGGCCTCGCTGCCGCCGCTTCAAAGCCTTGCTTCGGGGGGGGGAAGCCGCCGGGCCTTGCTTCGGGGGGGAGAGACCAGCGAGGCCCGGCGGCTGCAGTGGAGGGGGGTGGAGGAGATGGGGGGAACTGGTGGGATGGGGGGGAACTTACCTCCTCCTCCTGCTTCCTCCTCTTCCTCATAGGTGTGGAGCTCCCTCCCCCCCTCCCGCGAGTATCGCGGGTCTCGCCCCTTGTGTACATGATTTCCCCTATTTATCCTCACAACAGGATGGTGAGGTAGGATAGACTGAGAGAAAGTGAATGGCTCGGGGGCACTCAAATAGCCTTTAGATTAGAGTGGGAAGTTGAACCTGGGTCTCCTTAGTCACAGTCTCATGCCATTCTGGTTCTAACATTTAGTGTGCCAGGACAGCTGCCTTCCCTGCATAATTCAAACAGGCTACCCACATTTTGTTGCTTTTTAATTTTTAACCTCTGTTTGCCTCAAACAATTAAAACAGTTGCCAAACAGTTGCAAAATTGCTCTGAGCCTGTAAGATCAATGGATAGCAGCTGCCACCTGAACCAATTTCAGCTCTGCATATGCATCTTGGCTCTGAGCGGCCCCTCCTAACAGCTGCCACCGCCCTCGTTTTCCCCTGTAAGTAACCCTTGAGGAGATTTTATTCCATTAGTCTGAAGAAGTGTGCTTTGCACACAAAAGCTCACACTTTGAATAAAACGTTGTTAGTCTTAAAGGTGCAACTGAACTTTGTTCAGTGTCTTAGTAAAGTCACAGGTGCCAGCCAATTGGCACTGTCCATAGCCAATAGCCATTCTCTGAGCTCAGTCTTGGAGAGCAAAAAGGGTATTTGGACTGAATGAGGTACAAGTGCTTCCAAAGCAACCCCAGTCATCTACAAATAAACATCTACAGTGAAGCTGTAAGGCTTTCTCTAGAAAGCTACCTTATAAGTAGGAAAGCCCTTTTGATCTTCCAAGGCATGTATCCCCTTTCTAGCCTGTTTTAAAAACTGGAATCAGATTGAAGAATGTGTAACAGCCATGATCCATACATTTTAGGATCTACCAATAAATTTATTAATATGCAGCCCTGCTTCTAAACTCTGCTAACCACCAGCTTTCCCATGCTCAGCACGCTAGACATGCATATTAGTGGAAATTACAGCTATTACTTTGAAATGAACCACACACAGTAATGCCATGCTTCCTAAGAACCTTAAATTAATAGCTACTGAATTTCGGTGGGCAGGGAACATTCTTTTTGAATAAAGCACTGATTCTCTTGCTAGTGTTATGCAGAAGCTACATTTATGATTGCTTATAAATACTGGTATATAAATGTGTCATTATCTTGACCTGAAGTCCGTGCCCCCCTTTGAAACAGCTTTATTTGAAATATGTAAAAGGTACCAACATCTTGGGAAATACAGACATCTGTTCAAGTCCAGGTGGTGAATCATCTTTGCACAAAATAACACAACATCACAAATACTGCTACAATACACTGGGCCAAGAACAGCATGAGCTCTGCAATTCGATAGATAGGATAGATAGATAGATGATAGATAGATAGATAGATAGATAGATAGATAGATAGATAGATGATAGATAGATAGATAGATAGATAGATAGATAGATAGATAGATG